GGAGGGGGGCTCAGCCCCCCCAACTCCCCCCTTGGCTGGGGGCCTGATTAAAGCGATGGAAAAAAATCCTTGCAAATCATTTTCGCCCAAATTCCAAAACAACATAATGACGAAACATAGAAAAGTAGGACGTAAAACTCCATTCATTTCATTTCATTTCTAATAAAATATTAAACACATACCGTTTATATAATATTGTATTGTGTTTGTGATATGTACTCTTCTCTCTAAATGTCGTTCAAATTTTATAGTGATTTGATTGACCACCAATTTTAGTTCTTCAACGGAGGTAACTGATATTTTAATTTAATTTTAACGTTAGAAAGGAGGATCACAAAAGATATATGAGAAAATGTTACAAACACCCTCAACAATTTTTTTCATGAAAAGTACCCTGCATTGAACCACTCCTGCCATTGCTGCACAATACTATAAACATAATAGGGAGGCAAAAAGACAAGGTCTAGTGTGAAGTCACTTGTGAAAAATCATGTTTCAACTTTGTCCATAATCAATTAGTAGAAACAAACATGTTATATTTTTCTATTGGGTCACGATGACGGCCATAAAATTTCTTAAGGGAAGTATTCAGTTGGTTTGATAAATACCTCTGTAGTAATGGCTTTGATGCTACGATCTAGCTAAGAAATGAACGTGGAAAAAACAAGCTCTAGCGTACCGAACCATTTGAGAAACATTATAACGCTGGCAAATGCGGAATGTGGCTGCACATAAAAAGAAAATTGATGATGAAAGATCTAAATTATCACGCTTGTCATAACTTTACAAGTCTCTGGATTTTTTTTTTTTTAAAGCTTAAACAATTATCGTAATAGTTTTTTTTTCATATGTGAGATTTACATGACAAAAAATACTTATATTTTCATTTCTTTTCTATCTTCTTTCTATCTATCCATGAATGAATGAAATACGAAGTTAGAAATAAGAAGGGAGAGAATATATTTACTAGCAGAAATTGTGACAGACCAGAATCAGACCTTATAGACATTCCTTCATACAACAATGATAAAGATAAATCTTTGATACCAATGAATTTAGTTTTTCTTGTAGAAAAGAGTTCTAAAATACTAAATACTAAAATACTGGATACTAAAATAAGGGTTTTCTGTAACTGAAACCGAATTCCTCCAAGAAACATGCTTTTAGGCACCAGATGGCAAAGCATAGTGAATTGATTTTAACAATTTTATGAAAGCATTGCACGAAGCCTATTTTAATATAGTAACAGCTTTGGGCGTTTACGCTGCCAAATCAATTGACAAAGTTTTGCCATTTGCATTTACAATGTGTAACTATTCAGGACATTAAGATAAGAACCTCTAAAAAAACAACTTGGTGATAATAATTTCAATTTTCGAACACGAATACAGCGAGATTAGATTTGGTCAACTTGGATTTGAGGTAGCTCAGCTTTCAGAACAACGTCCAAGGCGGGAGAACCTGCAAGTAGGTGAACAGTTTTCAGGTCAATGTCCTAGGTAGTGAAATCAATTGCTGATCAGCAATAGATGAATTTTGCTTACTTCAATTCAAAGATCAAGGCCAGGAGGTGTTATTGACCATCTCTAGATACCAAGACTCGGAGCTTGTTGACTTAGCTCCTACACAGTAAAAAATAATGAGAGAGTTTACACCTTTTTGAGTGGAAACTAAGTTGCTACCCAAAATGGTGTAATTTTACACTACGTTTAGTGTTGAATTATTACACAATGTTGGTGCAAGTTTACACTATATTATGGGTATCCTTACACTAATACGGGTGTGTTAGTTGGTAAGAGTTGAAGAGGTGTAAACTCTGAATACTCTTTGTTAAGTGTTACTGTTTACATGGTTGTTGGTGTTGGCTAAGAGTGTATACACCCGGTATGCTTGTTTTACACACACGCGGTGTAACCTTATACA